TTTTCACGGGATCTTCATTGTAATAAACACTTCATTTAAAGATTCGCCGAGTCAATGTGGGTGAGGGGTGGCAGAGCGCCGTCTATTTGTTCTGATTTAATATCTTCCCAAATTAGTTTTCTATCTTTGATGTGAGGGGGTGAACTATTAAGGGAGGGTGAGTTTTCGAGGGTGAGGGAGTGAGCTAAGTGAGAGTTAACCCTCGTTCCATTATCTGGCCCGCTTTGCATGTGACATTCTCCTATCAATGGACTCGGTTTAAGTCAATTGTGACTCGTTGCCGGACCCGCTCATCCGAGACTTTGTATTGTCCATAAGCTCTTCTAATAATCGTGTAATAGTTGCTCCCGCTTCTCCCTTTGAATTCCCGTCCCATCGTCTTCTGAATGCCCCACTTAATTTGCCCAAGACAAGAAACCCATTATCATATTTTAATTAACTTCGTTGTTGTTATACCCACCCCGGCCCGTGGCAGCAGTTATTTCCACATTTATAACTCACCTAATTAAATACGTTCACTAACGACTTAATTTTCTCCCCCACTTTAAGTCTTTGTACATAATGTAAAAGAAACGACTTGTTCTCCATTTTCACTTTTATCTCCTTATTTAAATTTCAGTTTAATTTATATTTTTAATTAACTTGATTAATTCTTGTTTACATATTTGTCTGAGTATACTCTACTAAGCAGTTGAGTATAAACTATATCACAAATCTGTCCTAACTATTGAGAAGACTTGTACTGTTGTTTAAAAAAACGTCTTATTTACGCCCTATTTACAAGGAGATACACAGATCTGCCTGACAACCAGGAGACTAGATGACTGGACGTCTCGAGCACTTCACCTTCACACAGACTCGACTGGAGTTGCCCATATTGCCAAGTTGGTTTGAATAGAAAATGAATCAGTTTTATATCTGTTGGCGAAGTACGTCCCTAGTGCGCTTCATTGTGTGCTCAATAATGTCTAGGATTCTAGTTGTGATGATGATATCATAATCCAGACCCAAATTATCCTATGGCTCTCTAATCTGATGAACCAAAGCTCAGCAAAAACAAGTTACTTAAAACATTAGCCAGGATACAGACTGGCAAACCTATCCTGTGAATGAGCACTACATCAAATAACTGCACAAATAGAAGATTAATTGAACAAGAAATAGCATTAGTAATCTTCTTGGATATTGAAGAACATTTGATAATATTCCTTTTGAAGCAACGGTCACATCACTGAGAGAGCGAGGAACTGATAAAACCTGATGTAGGTGGATAGAATTTATGCTAAAAAAATAAAATAGCAGGCATCCATGTTCAACGAAAAAGTAGATGCAGTGGTGGCGAGATGTTGTCCACGAGGAGGAATACTCTCTGGATCTGGAAGGATCTGCACCATATATAGTCCCTGAATCTATTCTTGGGATAACAAAAACCAACATAGAATCCTCCGTCTCAGCATGGATAAAAAAAAGACAAAAGGGCACGTGGATAAACTATAGAGGTTCAAGGCACAGAAAGCTTATATTAAAACAACCCCATAACATGGATTCAATCATGACCACATTTGTATGTTATGCAACGGGGGGGGGGGGAACAGCCACCATATCATCTTGGAATGCGATCAATTGGAGACATAACCTGGGATACAAAGAAAACCCAGGAAAAGGAATTGTAGCAACGACAGTCAATGGCCTAGGGGAAGGATTGAGACAATTGCACTGAACTAAGGATTAGGAAAGAAAAGTAAGCCAGATGGCTACCATGCTTGGGAACGAAAAACCCCACTTCCCAGTATCCATCATCATAATCCAATTAGATCTTCCTGAATGCAAGCTATAAAAAAAACGCTGATACTCCTGCTTCTAAGGGAAGAAAATAAATAGAGTCAATTGCCACACGAAAGTCCGACTCAGATTTCGTTTATAATCAAAAGAAACAAATTTGGTCGATAAGAAACAGACTTTCTACTACTAAAATTTGTATGAAGTAAAACCTATAAAAATCCATTTCATTTGCAATTTCATAATTGATTTCTTGAGACTTAATCCCCGTGGGCACTTCGCCGGCACCTATGTTGTTAAGTTCAAGCACCGTTAACTAACGTGATTTCCCTCGGCTTGAAGGGGCTTAGTTTGCAAACGATAGCCATTTAGGTGACTGCACATCCAAAGCACACCTGCGTGGGCGTGTCCACAATAAAACAAGACAAGTTATTTAAACTTATAGGCTTTTGAAGAATTTATAGTTTTGAAGAATACTTCAGTTTTCTCTTATCCAGTGATTAGTCGCCTCAAATTCATGAAAAATAAAAAGCAGGTGTATTTGTGATTTAAATCCTTAAATCTCACGGCAACGAACACCAATACACTGGGTTTAGAAAAGTAAATAGAAAACAAAATAAACATTTTTTTAAACAAAACAAGAAAAAGCTTCATAAAAATCGGATGTTATTTAATTTAACAAGTTTAAAATGCATAATTATTACAGCTTTTTTCCGCCAAATTAACCATTTTTTACTCTAATTTAGCCCTTTTTAATTTCTAATATACCTTCTCTTTAAAACATTTAATAACTTAGGAAATGATATGAGATATAAGCATGTAAAGTAAAATTCTTTTTTTTTAATGATTTTTTTAAAATATAAAATTATTAGGCTCTTAGTAAAAATTAAATTACAATTAAAATTAAAAGTTATATAAAATTAAATAGAAAAGTAAATGATTCTCCTAGAAAGCCACTTGAGATTTTTTAATATTTAATTTTATATAACTTTTATTTTTTATTTTAATTAATTTTCATATGTGGAGCAAAATTATTTTATATTAAAAAAATGCAAATGTACAGGAATTATTTCACATGCTTATATTTTATATCATCCCCAAAGTTTTTCTAATGGTTTAGAAAAACGGTTAATTTAAAAAAGTTGATTTTTGGTTAAAAAGGGTTAAATTGACGGAAGAAAAAGCTATAAACCCTGTTTAACTGGAAATAAGAAGTTGTGAGGTACTGTGAATGTATTTATTAGCGGTAAGGAGGGGAGGGCGTCGATGTGAGACCTTTTCTATTAAAAAAGGTTAATTTGAAATTGAAAAAAAAGTTGTTTTTTCACTGAAAATCGTTAATTTGAAATTAAAAAAACATATACAGGAATCTTTTTTTACATGCTTATATTTCATACCATTTCCTTATTTTGTTTAACGCTGTTTAAAGGGTTAATTTTAAATTAAAATAGGATTAATTTTAAGTTAAAAAGTATTAATTTGAAAATTGCCTTCTTCTTCAAGACCATACCTTGATCCATGCACAAATTTATATTTGGATACAACTTAACTGTGGCAATTGATTTCTAAGAATTCTTTTAAAAATCTAATTTTTACCAGAGAAAAAAGTAAATTGTATTCTTTTGCAATGTTAAGCATGAATGATTTGATAAATTTTCTTATCATGATTGTAAGTAACAATACAAAAGTCAACAAAATGTTAATATGTAATTTGAAAAAATTAATATATTGTTATAATATAGTTATAAAAATCTATTAACCCATTTTGTTGTCCTAATTCATCTCTAGTTTTAAATAATAATAATAAAATTATATAATATTATTATACATGAAACTTGTTCAATTGATTGCCATTTGATCACGTTACACAGGCTGTCTACTCCCTTGAGTGTAGATTTCACTAAAACAGTATTTTCGCTCAACTTCACACAGCAGGATGATAAAGCAGGGAAAATGTACAATATATTTTCTTTTTTAGGTTGTACTGAATATAGCAAAACACATTTTAAACCAAGGGACGAAAACAGACACCAGTTTTATTTTCAACAAAACAATATCAAAATTCTTGTAGACTTACCCATCGTTATCTAACTATTTAACCATTACCTTTTTCAAACCGATTAAATATGGGTAAATACATATTTAATTATAAGTGACTCATTGCTCCTCTGCAAAATAGGAGATGTATCCTTGACATATTATGCTCAACTGTGTACATGAGAATTGAGATAATTATAAAACCATAAATTCATGTTTAACATTTAAGGATTCATTAATCAAGCCGCATCTGACCTTTACCATCACGCAGTTCACCTTTATGTTCACCTAAGGCCATCATAACATCGCCTTGGTGCCGTTTTTCAATATCTAGTGTAGCCTGTTCAAAAGATTCTTGTTTACGACCTTAGCAAAAACTGAAGGGGCAAAGTTTTGGCTGCCAGTAATGACTGAGCTAAAAAATCATGGTTTGCAGGATGATTTCATTGCCTGATGTGATGGGCTGAAAGGCTTTCCTGATGCTATAGAAGCCATTTACCCTCAGGCCTGTTGATGTAAGGTTAAAGTTAACATTAAAAGTTTTAAATTTTCCTTACCTGTAGGTCTTTGTACCAACCAAACAATCCACTGATTCTTCTTCTTTCTGGCGATATTCGCATGGGCTTGTTTCTGCTGCTCCTCGTGTAAAGATATGACTCTGGAGTATGCTGTATTTAATCAGCAGTCCTACTATGATTCTAATCCTAATCAAAGTTTAGTAGTTATAACATTAGTTCCTGCGATGGTCCTTTGATGGACATTTTGAATAAAATTCCGTTGAACCAAAAACTGATTCTTAACCCATCTGATGGGTCAATGTTTTTGGCAATTTTGCATGTCACAAAGGGTTAATAGATTTATTGATACTTAATTGAGCTATTAGCATTGGATGGTATACCTTTTGTAAATAAATAGTTAAATAAGTGATTAGTGATTTACATAAGCTCAAATATGCACATGCATGTACAGTGTTGAGCCCATCACTTTTCGCAGCTCGCTGGCAATTCCAGCTTTTGTGTAATTTTCAATAAATTACCACAGGCCTCAAAAATCACCCACCCCCGGGGGGGGGGGGTTGGCAGTCTGCGGTCAAACCTCGGTTATCCATCTAGCCACCAAGGTTGCGCTCCAGGTGCTATCAACAACTAGTTCATTCCAGCAATCAGTATAAGGGAAAAACAACATTATGTCAAATCTTTAATCGTTTTCTAGATTTTTTTTTTTTTACCAAACTTACATATGCTAAATTTTATACTGATGTAGTGATCGAGATTGTGTTCATGGTTTGGGGGGGGGGTCTTAATCCTGTATGTTTTCAATGTTTTCTGTAATTCAGGCCCTGAAGAAGACTTCAAATAAAGTTAAAAGCTTGTCAGAACAGTCTTTGGCTTAAGAAACTCTGACCACAACCTCGATCACTACATCAGTATAATTACAACTGTTGGTTGATTCTATCAATAATTTATGCTAAATTCTGTTCTTTTGTGTACAACTTAAAATAATTATAAGCATAATTTTACTAGTGTGGATTATTTTTGTCATCCTTCTTTTGTAATACCATGTAGTAAAGAATTTTGGCAATAAAAACAAACATCAGTGCAAGTGCACAAACATTGCATCAATGTCAAGTGGTTTTTAACTTTGTAAAGGATATAAATAATTGTCAAACCAAACAAGACCAAAAAGGTTGCATGAAATAGTTATACATTTGCTTTAAAATAACTATTTATTGAGCATTCGGATCATTTTATATTTTCTGAGGTAGAATGAAAAATGTACTTTTACTTGTTTCCCCACTTACACTAGCCGTAATATTATTCTACTTACATGATATACTTAGTGCAAAATATTTGTAAAAAATATCTATTTACATTTCAACCGGTCCATACATTTTGACATTTGTGACTTGAATTTAATAAATCGATCATACATCCTAATTGAAAAATAAAATAAATTTGCATTGTCATTTTTTATAGTTATTTTTCAGTAGGGAAATATCACAAGTTAGCTTGGTTAGAATATTTTACAAAAATTGATTATTTTTATATAACCTGTAAACCAAGCTAAAACATAGAATTAAATGATTGAATGAATTAATGCAGTCTTTTAAAAAATCACACCGTTCTTAAAATGTGGTTACCGTGTTATAATTCATCGTGTAACGAGTCACTATCTTGGAAAGCTGGTTGTAATTCTTTGTGTATTAGTAAAGCTACGTTTTTTGCACCAATCAGTGACATTTCTATTGCACTTGCTGCCCATTCTATAGCATTTATATAATAAAGATTTTGGTCTAACTCAAATGAATCATTTCTATAATCAGTGCTGTAATGAGGATACGCTAGCCAATTGATGACATCTAGTACGATATAATTTTTAAACAGTTTTTTTAAATCGTTATCACTGAGAACATTTCTAGAAAAGATTTTCCAAATCTGTTTTTTATTTGTCCCATTTACCGGTTTGATTCTTCCGACTGAATTAAAAAATAGATTCTCTGAGACTGTTAAAATAATATCTGGGACATCGCCACTCTTCGTATAGCCGAAGTATTCATTATTTAAATTTCCCTTTACAATGGTCGCAATGGTAGTATGGTAATGTCCAGGGACATTCACGGGAACGTCGATATTGAAAACAATGGGACTTTTTTGGTCTACTGTCAAAGGTGTCGCAACAATGACAAAATCATATACAGATTTAATATGGTTTGTTTTAATTATGTACTTTCCTCCTTCTGTTTTGTCTACTGAGATAACTTGATCATTGATCAACTTAGCATACGATGCTTTCATGAGTCTTTCTGCTAGTAGTTTATTTCCGCCAACAATTGAGAACAAGTCAGCGCCCATTCCAGATGTTGATACAGAGCCTAAATTAAATTAAAAAGTAACATAAAAATGATAAGTAATATATTTGGTTTACACTCAAAGACAAAAAAAAATCATATTTTGTTGTTTATTTTAAACCTGTATGTATTTTTATCTTTATATTGATTACAACATACTTATTTTAATGTGAATTGGGGGACCGCGGTAGCCGAGTGGTTAGCATGAGAGACTCTCACGCCGCGGTCGTGGGTTCGATTCCCACCGTCGCCTCTGGCCCTTTTTTCACAATAACCCCCCAAATTTGAACACACATATATGAATTGTCACATGGCTAATATGCATAGTTCATAACGAAAAAAAAAAAAAAAAAAAATTAATGTGAATTAAATTAAACGAGATCAGAAATTCATGGGTTTTAATAAAAAGTTATTTAATTATGATGGTTTGAAAGAAAATTCAACAAAATATCATAAGAGAACAGCCCCACATTGTTCAAGTGTTGAAACGAGATGCTGATTTGTGAAGAATTTTTCTACTCAATTCCTCTCCAGTATTTGAGAACTGATGTGGGGTGTCTAGAGACTAGGATATTTCATGAAGCCTTCTGATGACTGTTTTGGAGCTCACCTTTATGTTACAGACCACTTGGATAGTCGCTTGGAGTTGACTATCAAGGAAGCCATTAAATGACAGTAACAGTAAGAGCAATAAATCGATCGCTCTCACTGTCGTACATTGCGGTCGACCACTACCTTCTTTAGATCAAGACTCCCAATGGCCCAAACTGCTGTAGACTATAATGGATGGTCAACCAGGACTTGGATCATGTAACGCTACGCCCGGCCTTAGCATCTGCCCAGGTAAGATCTCGACTTAAAACCATGCTTTTAAGGATAAAAATTTTTCTTTTACTTTTTTTCCAAAGGAGGGTCGCAACAGCAGGGTTTATATCAACCCTCGGAATGTCAGTGTTTTTGAAAAAGTAATCCCATTTGTCGGGTTTGACTCCAGGGCTCCTGGATCAACACCTTAACAGTTGTGGCCACCTACGCCCCCTTTCTCAAATTTATTGTTTCATCAAAGAAAATAATTTAATAAAACCAACAAGTTGCCTCTGATTTTTTTTTTTAAATTAATCACCGCACATTTATTTTTAAACTAAAGATTTTTTATTTTTGAACTAAAGATTTAAGACAACATTTTATTAATGTTGCATTTATGCTTAAGTAACTATTAAACTTTATATTACCCATTTTACATAAAATAAACAAATAAATACTACTATTTTTTAAATTATTATTATTAATTTTTTTTTGTCTTTGGGTGTATAGTCCAAGACATCATATTTATTTTAGAACTCACCAACAAATTTATGTACAGAGGTGGATTGCCCATAATTGCAACGAAGTCCTGCTAAAAGCAATTCATCAATAATTTGTTGTGAAAAACTATCCTCCTTGAAGCCTTCCTTTGCTGTTACTGTTAAGTATTTTACAAATTTTGGGTCGGCTGAGTATAATAGGCTGTGTACATCTTTAAAACTATTTAATTGGTCTTGAAACGAATAAATTCTGAAAATACAATCAGTAATATTTTCGTAAAAATAAATAATAAACCGATATTGTCTGTTATGAAATTCCTTGTCAAGTTTTCAATTTTATTTTAATCAAAATTACCTTGAAAAATGGCTAAGCATGTCTGTCAAAAATCTATCAAGTTTGATTAGCTGCCATTTATATCTCCATAACATTTTTATGTTTGTTATAAATGAATATTTACTTCCGGTGAACACAAAACCTTTATCACCGAACAAGCCAAAAAATTCATTTGGGTCTTCATAATTCTTGGTTAAATCTAGAATTTAATTTGTGGATTATTTATCAGTGTTGACCCATGGTATTCCAAGATCAGAAATGACACCGACTCATTAATTTAACAAGATCAACAGCATGTTTGTTTTTTGTGTGGATTATGGATCCTCCTACTTCATATTCTTTTTCGTCAATAGTAATCGTTGATAAACGACCACCTATTTTTGACTGTTCATACAAGTCAATGCTAACATCGTCGTTAAAAAATTCCCTTAGAAAATAAGCAGCGGATGTACCTCCTATCCCACCTCCAATTATACCTGAAATAACAAAATTGCCAATAGATTTTGATCCGTACAAAATAAAATGGGTATGCAATTTCAAAATATACCCATTGTAGATATACGGGCAACATAATTACAAAAATATTTTTTCAAGTGGAAAATATAAATGTATACGATGCTCATGAACTGGCAGATTTGGAGACAAAAACCATCTACCAGGTGAATGAACTCAATACACCTACATCCGCAAGTGCTGGTTCAACAAAAGTACCATCAATTACGAGCCATTACTGAACTTACAAAAATTATTTGCAGTAGTCAAACGGGAGTTTAAAATCCATGAAAAAAGCACTATATATATTCTAATATACAACTTCCCGGCACCCACCTCGAAGGTGTTCGAGATTTCTTTCACAAGACGATTTTCCAGCTCCAACTTTAACACACTTTCCGGTGTGCCTAGTTGTAGTTTCCATCAAATAGGTGGGAAGGTTGCCCTTTTTTGGCTAGTTGACCAACCTTTCATTTTCTTCTGCACCTTCATATCCCAGAACACACCTCCAAAGTGTTTGGGATTTTCTTTCTTCAGCCATTTTTCAAGCACCAACTTTAACTCACCTATGGTGTACCTAGTTGTAGTTACAGTCATATAGGTGCGACGGTTGCCCTTTTTTTTGGGCTAGTTGGATAGTATCTGTTTGTCGTTACTAATCAAGTGTGAAAAGTGTGAACGGGTGCACACGAGTCTTCCCTTAGACTATTTGTAAGGACCCACTGAATTAGTCGACAGACACTGAAAACTACTTAACCCAACAAACTACCTCTTAACTGATTGCATATTACTTTACCCTTATTTTCATATATGCGTTTCCAATAGTGTGGGTCAAAAAAGTATTGGCTAATTCCTCATAACTAATAATTTTGACAATTTAAATAAAGACAAAGTATTCAAATTGGTTCCATTGGATAGTTAGTCACCCTGTTCATTTCCTTCTACATTTTCATATCTTTTGGAACATACCTGCAAGATATTTGAGTTTTTCTTTCTCAAGACAGTTTGCCAGATCCAACTTTAACTCGCTCTTCGGTGTGCCTAGTAGTTACAATCATAGAGGTGTGAAGGTTGCCCTTTTTTGGGCTAGTTGGTCAGCCTGTTTGTTTCCTTCTTTCAATTCAGACCAGTTCTTCATATCCCAGACCACACTCCAAGGTGTTTTTTCTTCGCCAGCTATATTTCCAGCTCTAACTTTAGCACAGAGTCCATGCACCTAGTTTTGGTTTTTTTGCGTTCCTATTCATTTCCTTCCATACCTTCATGTCCCGAAACTGATTAAGGCACCCTTGTGTTTTCCTAGGGCTATTAGATAATTTAGGCATTCCTAGAGCTAAAAGCACGCATGTCAGATGCATGACTGTCCAAAAGTATGTAAATCTTTGCTCTTTAATGTAAATTTTTGCTCCTTCCTGAAACTTGAGGCTGCCTTTCTTTTAATGATCTTTTATCTATGACCACTTGGAAAGGCCAGACAAAGTTGAGTTTTCCTCTCATTTTGGCTGTTCTAGTAATCTCATTTATTCTAATGGCTTCTCCTAAGATCTGCATTTATTTCCTTGTATCTCAGGAGTCTTGGCGCTTTCAAAAAAACGCCTTTTATACATAAACCGAGTGCAGTCTTCATCACCAAGCTTGTGTAGCAAGTATGCATCGCAATAACAGTTACAAATTTAACATAGTTTTTCTTTCTAAATAGATAAAACACTATGACATTTTCAAATCAAAAGGTGTAAAACCGCATTGGGAATTTGTAACATGGGCAAAAAATCACATGCTCAACATGCCCACTCACCGATGTTAACAGCTCGGCCGACCTGCAATACGACCACCAACAACACGATAACCAACAACATTCTTTTAAGTAAACAGGATCAGTTCTACATTCATGAAGCTGGACGAAGGCTGTCGGTACCAGATATCATTGTCGAGACAACAGCAAAGCAGCCACCTGAAAGCGATAGCAAATGAGACAATACTCAACAGTAATCTGCGTCTAACAATTTTTGCAACAACTGCTTTCAGGTCTTTTTTAAACACTTTTTATTTAAATAAAGCTGTTGACCCATCTAGTTCTAGTACTGAATTAAAATGCATAAACATCTCGTACTCGCCTTTTGATGCAAAACTGTGTAGATTCTGTGGGAGGGTCTGGATAGCTGGCGGAGATAAGAGCCGATTTGACGTTCGGACTTTTTTCTGTTTACCTTTTACAACGGCCATAGATTGCGATGGTTCGTCGTAACCTTACCGGGTAGGTTACACAGTTGGCCGTTTTGTTTGGCGTGGCAGGTCTCAAGTTGTCTTCTGCCGGCTAAATTCTATTTTTTCTTTCTTTTTGACTTTTTGAACCAGCAGAAACGGTAAACATCGTAGAAAACAGGATGAGTGGGACAGGTGAGTGGAAAAACTTTTCGATAAGCCGGCAAAATTATTAGAGTCCAGGTAAAACCTGATGAACCAACCTGATGGTTTGTTTGATCAGTTTTATAAAATGCCGGAAAGAACTCTCGTTACTCACTTTTAGAGTCATGGGTGGACGAAGTATTTTCCCATCGGACCGTGTTTAAAATAAATTCTTCAGGTTGAATTAATCCCATACATGAAATAATACATAAACGCGCAACCACAAGGGTCATGATGCCCCAATAACAGGCTCATAGGTGGCATGCGGTGCGGACGGAAGGTCATAGCCATGGAGGCCCTTGATATCTGATATTCTGCCAGATAATACTGCTGCATGTTTTTCTGTATTACGAGCTTGGGATGGATTGGGTGGGCACCATCCGCATCCAAATGCAGAGGGTTAACATCGTATAAGGAGGGCTACTATATACCTGTCTTTTAAATTAGGTACACCTAGTTATCTTGCCTATGTCGATAGGCTACGTTTTACTGGGCTTCAATCTTCGTCATAAAGCTTGCCTGCCTTATCTTCACCCTTGTGGAAAGTTCTCAATTCTCAGATCTCCTTTCTGGAGATTCTCTCGAGCCTTGGACTGACATAAATTATAAATGTGTGGTGTTTAGTGACCGTTAATTAATGATCATTTAGAGATCTTGACAGGTTTAGAAAAACATTGTCTTTATCGTGCCAATGTTTCAATTTTATTGGGAACATCTTCAGGACCTGGGATTTATAAACATTGTTCAAATTATACAAATACATGTAAGATGTGAAAATGAATTTATATAGAAATTTTATGTTTAATCAAAGTTACACAGAAAACACACTTTGAGAACAATACAAATATTTTGATTAAACCTAAAATTTCTATATTGTTGTATAAATTCTTTTCACGTCGTACATGTATTTGTATAATTTAAACAATGTTTATAAATAACAGGCGCTGAAGATGATCTCAATAAAGATAGAAATGTTGGCTTGATTATTAAAAAAATAGTTTCTAAATCTACATCACACTAGACCGCATCTCACATCTATAATCATAAATTATTGGGGCCATTATTTTAGAAAGAAAAAGATTTAAAATATTCAAAAATTAAATAAAACTGTTGGCAATAGTGCCAAGTGTGGCGAGCGAGCATAATTAATTAAATTTCTGAAACTTTTTTTTTTTTTTAATTTTTTTTTTAAATTTTTTAAATGAGGGTTCGCAACAGCAAAGGTTATATCATCCGTCGGGGTGCTGGTGTTTTTGAAAAAAAAGCCCATTTATAAACGTGTCGGGTTCGAATGCAGGGCTGCTGGATTCGAACCCGGGACCTTTACCTTACAGTGATGAGCGCCGTGTCAACGCCTAAACCGTTGTGGCCATCGACGCCCCCCTTCTGAAATTGTTAAGCAACAGTTCAAAAGGAACCCCATTGAGATGTAGCAGATCTCTGATTTCAAATAATCACCTTAACTTGACCAATGACAGACCTTAGTCTCATCTTTATCTATATTAATCATATCAAAATCACGTTGGTATAGTTCTTAATAGAGTAAAAATGTGAGGTAGATATGACTTGTTCATCGAATTTGATACTTAGTTTTCTAATAATTTCCATAAACAGGAAAGGCCAGTCTTACACATAATTTATAGAAAGAGATGAGTTACATGAAAGATCTCTACATAAACTATTCCAATGTCGAACCATAAGCACCGTGTTTAACGACTTCAAGGGCCACTATTTTGGAAAGCCGGAAATCAGGCTGTTCGAAGAATTTTAGGATGTAGTTAAAATGAAGTTTGAGGGTATATAAAAATAACTGGTATACATTAGTTTCTAAATAAATTATATAATTCAGAGGGTTTTGGAAAGGGTAAATAACTTTCTAATTAAAAATCGTTGAGTTTTTTTGACCTGTTCAAATTTTTCATAGCCCCAAGCAGACTAAATGGGCATTTGAAGAAGATTGGTATAATCCAACATGGCCGAGATTTTGCAAAGAAGCAGAGGAGACACCAACACATCTGTTAACCAACTGTGGTTGGCTACATTTACCTGCAGGAGGAACTGTTTTGGGGTGTACAATGTGGCCGTAGAAGAAACCACTGTAAACCGGACCTACTCATCGGTGTGTTGTATGTACAGCGGGAGGTACAATAGTTCTCAGTATATTACACTCCGAATATTACACTTTATATTATTCTGAGCTTGAGAGGGATGTGCATCTGTGGGCCCGTCCAAATCCCTCGGGTAGGTTAACATAGCATAAACCAACAGGGACTTGTGAAGCACCCATGAACTGCCCAGGCCAGCGGGCCTCCCGCCCACAGACGACGCACATACACCATTTTACATTTTATGTTCTATATTAATACATTTCAGTCGATCTTGATAAATAGTTAAAAGAAAGACAAACAATGTGAGAAGCTCATATTTTGTTGAGTAAATTGCTGATTAAATAAAATCAAATAATTTATGCATACTATCCTGGTTGTCGCTAATCACCTCTTTGCTTACAGGCAAGGAGTGTAGAAGTTATACTTTGTTATAATGTGCATAACATAGTATGTGTTTTATTGTAATGGTCTAGTTGCAAGGTCTACAAATTGGGGGGGGGGGTGCCTCTCGCACCATCAAATAACCCTTGGTGGCTTACAGTGTACAATCCTCAACCATGCAAGAATCACTTCTTCCTTTCTGCTATCCCTATACAAAATAGGCCATGCGCCTACAGAGTCCTTTGTCACTTGGAGTTTGTTTTCATGTATGTTAGCCCAGACTGGTTTCCATTGACCCCAAATTTTTGAATTGCAAACTACCCTTTGGGACGTCTCTGGTTTGAAGGCCTATATGGCTGCTTCTTTTTGCAGCTCTGTCAGCTAAGTGGTTTCCTTAATATTTGCATATCAAGGAACAAAATAAAATTTACTTTCCTGCAGTTGTAGGCCCCTCAATGGAACCAGTATATCCTGAACATTAGGGTCATTTGAATAGGAGTGGTCCAAGGCTTGCAAGGCAGATTCTGAGTTTGAGAAAATTAACCTGTCTGTTAACTGTTAAACTATACAACAAAATGTAAGTAGACTTATTAGACTAACAAACAAGAGGAAGACGTCATTACTTTTTTTACTAATTGTCTAGTCCCATTGAAAAAAAAAAAATTTGACTTTTAAATTTTTACACCTTTACAGCTACGATTTATATTATTTTCATAATTATTGTACTAAATTTCTGTATTTTTTCTTCTGAATGTTTCTTCCTTTGTCAAGTGACATCTTTATTAATATCAGACACTTCAATTTTTGGCTTAATTTCTGAAATTAGTATACAATCAGAATGTCAATTTAATTTTAAGATCTTACAGTTAAATTCACCACTGTTAGTAATTTTCTTTTGATTTGGCAAACAGGTCTTGACGCAAGGTTGTCCTTTGTATTTGCTACAATGCTGGCCGTTCTAATATTTTGTCTGATGCAAATACAGAAGCAATGGTTTTCTTCTTCCCAAGTGCACACTATATTAGGAGGTTACCTAGGTTCTCTTCTATTTACATTTTTATTAACTGTATCCTTTGCAATATTGGTATGAAATGTTTTAATTATGTCTCATCAACAATTTTTTTAAATTAATTTTATTATTTGCCTTAATTAAAACTATTGAAACAGGCTATTGGAAATATGGAATCAATCATGTTTGGACCAAGGTTTCACACTAAATTATTTCCAGAAGGTTTGTATTTCTTTCATTCATTTAATTATTGTACAAACTTATCATTTTAGAAAGATGAAATTGTTAATAGAATAATAATAACATTGTTTCTTGATAATAAAAAAGTCAAAATGTAATTTTTAACATTTTACAGTAATAATTTGCTTGGGGGTCTCCCTCTTGGCTACTGGAATGGTACATCGAGTCTGCACTACAACTTGGTGACTTGTTTTTTTTTTTAAATTTGATAATACCAATTTTAAATTTTATATTGTTGCTAAGGTTCTTGTGAATGATTACAAATAATGTGCATCTTGGTATGATTTGGATTTTTCCCCATCCACCCCATACCTTAGGCAGACCCTATACCGGTGGACCATGCCAAACTAAAAACTGCGGATGTGAAACAGAAAAGGAGGAAATGTTTGAGCTTATGTCTTCCTCAGGCCTTGCCTTATGAAGATGAGGCTTGAGGAGGGTATGGGCATTTATTTTCCTTGTGTTATCCTATCTTAAGCAAATGAGCCTTATTTTATTTTTTGGACAATTTTGACTAGTATGTCAACCAGAATGTTTGCAAAATTGAGAAGGGAAAACCAAGTTAGGACTAAACTTACGGCTCTATTAAAGCTTATTATACCATTAATTAAATAAATTTATGTGGCCAAATAAATAAGTAGATCAATATATGCTCTATATTTGATGGCCAAGAATTTTTAGGCTTAATGCTTTGAACGCCTAGAAACAGTTTTGGTCCTGCAAATTCACTTAAAGTTGAGGGCTAACTGTTGCAGAAGTGGCCTTTTAGGTCTTATCAGTATCGCATTCAAAGCATGAAAGGCTGTTGGAAGTATTGAATTTAAGAGGTCTAACAAGAAGGTGCAAGGTCAAGGTTTGCTTGGCCCAGAAATCCGGATACACCTGTTTCGCTCCTCCTCAATGTCTAGGAAGTATTCAGGTAGGTCATTCTAACTTTAGTGCTGTTTTCCCACCTGTTTTGCTTGCAGTGTCTATCCAATTTTTATAAATCGAAGTGCTGTCTTTTTGGGGTGTTCTTCTACACCATGTAGGTTTGGCAAACTTTGCTTTGGAGGACTATGTCAATCAGCTGAGCAAGTTTAGCTAATTTTAAAAAATGTGACACAACTAATTTTTTACATGTTAGTTACAAGTGTAAATCAGTTATTAAAAAATTGGTGATTTTTGGAATGTAATCAGAAAAAACTTGTAAGGCAAGGGGTAAGGTTATCATCACGGCAAACCAACCTTAAAAATGCCTACAAATAGACTCAGACCCAACACTGCCAAGGATTTATTATTTATCCGTAATATGTAATTTATGTAGGCCCTGATGGTGACATTAAAATGAGAAAAAAAAGGGAAAAAAAAGTTGAACAGATAACAATTGAATTTGTTTTTTCATCCAGAAGATACCAAGATCCAGATTATTTGTGAGTAAAAAAGTCGTTGATACATCTTGATACATGCTTTAAACTTGTGAATGATGAACATTTGTTTAAAATTCTTTTATTTCTACTCATCCTTCACCCAACATTGAGAAAGTTAACTTATTTTTTATAGTGTCATTTCTAATCAACCTGGTCTGTCAGACCATAAGCCAGAGAACAGAAGAACTTTCCAAAATTGATGTTAATTAAACAACATATATTTACTTTATTTTCAAAAATAAATGTTTCAGAATCTAATCATAATTTATTTTGCATGAGTTAGTTTGATTTCTTCATTCAAGGTGAAGTACTGAAAGTGTTCAGGCAAACTTAGTTTTATATTGGTTGCATTAAAGTAGATGTGATTGGCACTGTCAGAGGTGTCATCCTTTTCAAGTCTTCATCATCTTGTGCAAATGTTTTGAGAACACCTCGGATTATATAGAAGAATAATGCAAATCATGATTGTACTTTCTGATTCTACAGTTTCCTTTATAACATAGAACGAACATAAACACCATTTATACCTGGAATGAAAATAATAAACTTAATCAGTGCAAGAGCATTATGTCCATTACATTGTAAGCATGACATGTTTTAATGTAAAAACAACCAATTTTATAACGATGTAATTTTGATTTACATATCACACATTCGTAACTCCCTAACACGTTGACTGCAGGCATGAACAGTCAAAATGTGATTTTTTGTTTTAAACCAGCTGCTACTCTTCTAACATAACTCAAATGTTCAGTTCTTTCTTCACCACATACCCGGAAACATAGGTCTGGAGGGTAATGAAGAGGTGGACAAGGAGGCTAAGGCTGGAATGTCCCAATCTCCAATCTCAGCCACCACAATCCAGCCCCCTGACACTAAAAGAGCAATATAAAACATGGGTAAAAGAAAATGGCAGCATCAGAAAAGGTCTCGCATATCAAGAGCACTGTCAATACATGGCCCTCGGAGGACCTGATTCATAGAAAAATTCGTCACCTGAGTAAGAATAGGCCATGTGAAGTTGAGACAAGGACAATTCCTTTTGGGCCAAAGCCCAAGTATATGTGTAGACAAAGATGTATATGTGGAGAAAGATTGTTCAACATGTCCCATCATGTTGAAGGGTGCAATTCCTTGGCTACATATAGAGGGGCTGTAGGAAGGGCATGGCACTGAGTATGGATGTGGGAACTAATTGAAATGACCTAGCTCTGTTGGTAGCCCCTGGAGCCCAACCTCAACAGCTTAATTATTAATTTTTTTTATCATCGTTTTTCCTTATTTTAAGTGAAAATAAAAATATACAAAAGGCATTTGGATTTTGAAGCAGAACCTGGTCTTAGTGGTAACCCACCAAGACCAGCTTCATATGTGATTTTTCATGCATTTAGTGTTTTAAAAACAATACTGCATATTGTAATTTTCTTATAGAATAAAAATGTTATTTTGAAATGTCAGTATTCTTTGTGACTTAGTCGTTGAAATTAATAAATCTCTTACAACGAAAGTACATAAATCTTTATAATTGTGAGGCAAAAATGGAGATTTTCATTATGAACCTGTTAATTAGAGAGAAAGTAGGTATATTTTATTTCAAGTTATTCATCATTTTAAACAAACGACCAATTTGACATGATTTTTAGAATGGTAGATAAGGTGCAACCAATTTCGACAGTCTACACAAAGAGGGGTCATGTATTGTGGAAAATAAGTTTTATACAAAATTAACACAAAAGTATTGAATTTTTAAGACAAATCAGTTCAGCACGAATTGTCACAAACACAAGCAAGAATTGTGTTATTATTAAATTGTTTTAACATTAACATTTAATTTTTTTCAGCTTCCTGTTTTCTGTAATTGGCCTGTATTACATAAACAAAACATCAAAACAGCTCTTTCCTGCTCCAGTTCCAGTGACTGTTTCGAGTAAAAAGAAGAAATAGTTTTTTTCCTCTTTAATAAATTTTGTTGGTTCAGCCTTTTTATTTTTTATTTTTATGTAAATGTATGTATTGGTATATTACTTTTTATGGCTCAGATAAATATATAAACATTCCGAATTGCAGTTTATTTACCCTTTGAAAAAAAGCATAACTTATTAAAAAGATGTTCAGTGCTATTAAAAATGGAAAGAATGAGGAATTATTTTCAGGTCAAATACTATTAAATTACTTCTTTCTTGATCACAGTTGAACGGCAAAATTTTAACCTAACAATTTTAATACTGTTAAAATTTAATTCATGCATACAGTGTGTCGAAATTTTACAGTTAATATTGTATTTTCGTGTTTTTTTATTTCCTTGAGTTTATTTTCACTTTTTTCTCCTTAAGATCAGTTTTATGTTTTATGTTGTAACAATATTTAATGAAGCAATTATCCAAGTCTTGTACATAATTATGTATTACAAAACAAAAAGTTTAATATATTTTATGTCTGTTTAGAAAAAATGCTGATGATTTATTCAAGAACTGCTTATGAATCCCTCCAAAAATGGTGATTTTTAAGACTTAAGTAAAAAATGACTTAACTAGACATTTTTGTTATTTGCTTATTAATTTTTTTCAGCTTTCATGTTTTAAATGTTATTCATGTCGATTGGACATCTGATTAGATTTGTAAATTTTGATATGAAATATTACTTACATAAAATTCGGTTTTCTTAGGACCCAAACGATAATTGACAGGAAAATAACTTGTCAGTTGCGTACGGAGAAATGAGCAGGAATTAAATGAGACTCAAAAAGAACCACAAAGGATCAATGTAGATTACTGGTCCTAAAACTCAATAAATAAGAAAAAGGTTATCCAGACTGGCTGAACTTTAAAGTTATTTGATGTGTGAATGTACAATTTAAAAAAAAAATAATATTCTACCACAGAAATTACTTTTTGATATTGACCTACTTCATATTGATTTTGTATAGCTTCTGTTCCAACAAATGTAGATGTTATTGTAGTTCATGCAGTTTTCTCAGTAGTTGCATCTAAAGTAGCTTCCATTTAAATTTTTCACAAAAGAAGTTTAACATAACCTCCTAAAATTTAACAACATTATTGAATCTACTTATTAAACAACTTTTACAAAACATGCTTTTATTATAATAGCTTACATTATAATAATTTACAATGTTAATTTTACTGCAGTGCCAATTAAAGCAAGAAAATGTGAAGTATTTTCTTTTTTTCTGCATCTAAATTTGTATCTGAATTTAACTTGTACCAATAAAATTTTCCAGCAAATGAAGTAAAAACTATGCTTATAATATATATTAAATTTTACATATAAAGAAAAGTTTATTAAGTAGTGTACGATCTGATATGTTGTGTGATATATTCTTTTGTTCTTAGCTAGTCTGTGATTACTGTGATGGTAGAAGAATGAAAATTATAGTTATTTGTGCTTGGACACAATTTCCAAATTTTCAAAACAAAGTCAAACACCAGAAAAATATTGGTACATGCATGACATACATACCATACATGGTACATAAGGTACATAACCTTTGGAATATCAAGACAACGTACTCCAGTATTTCACATTATGCTAGTGAAAAGAAAACATAGGTGATTTTAGGTAAAACTTTCAAACTGAACTTATAACATATCTGCATTAATTTGACCTTCAGGTTGTTTGAGAACGAGAAAGAGTAAGTTACGCATTATCGGATAATAATGCTTACAAAAAAAAAATCTGATAGTGGCATTGGAAGAGGAGATGGAGCTACTGCTGTTTTATGGCAATTGCATTAACCGCCCACTCAAATTTAGCCATCATCAATCATCAACTAGCTTACAATAGAGTACTAGCCGAGATACCTTTCACAAAATAAAATTACAGTTATGACTCAGATAACACAGAAAAATCTCTCAAAAATTTAATACCGAACGGTTCAGAAGAGGAGATTCAGTTAATAAGGTATGGCATTTTGCTACTATGTTAACTATTGCCATGATTAATTTTGATTTACGCATCCCAAGAACAACGGCTAGAAATTACCAGTCTTTTAGATGATTGTTTGGCTGTTGAAACTGAATTTTGGTCACTACTGATCATTTTAGTCGGCCTACCTCGGGTGTTCTTAATTAAACAATACCACTTAAATATTTTTTAGATTTGTAATAATTGAAACTTTACCATAATTATCCAATAATTATATAGAAGTTCTAATTTCAATGGTTTGTAGGTACAGCATTAGATTGTAATGATGTCTCTGAGCAGCAGTAAATTTGTTGTAGTGTAATGCAGAGGTCTAAAAATTAGTTTAAAAAAAATTAATATTACCAGGTTTAATAATGTGAAATGTTTGTTAATTTTATACCTGTAAATGTGTATTGTGCATTTAAGAAGAATGTGTGTCACGAGAATTTAAAGAATGTTCGTTCGGTACTCTTTCATCACTTCTGCTTGTACTTGGACCTGTCAAATCGTGCGATTCTGCTGTTGAATCTTGCATGCCCTCATCAGTGGTTCTATCCGATGGTTTATGCATTTTCACAATGCGGTGCGCCATTATGACGTTCCGTCTTGATGAATCGTCTTCTTCTGGGTTGCGTATGACATGCATGAGGGCTGGGAGCGGTTGTTGAAGCTGTTCCATCAAAATCGATGCAATAATATCGCTATAATCGCCCGACATTTTTTCAAACTAACAGAAATTTTTAAATTTAGGAGCAACAAGAAAATTAAAATACAGCTTCTTCTTTATGAGTGTACTAATCTTATCTAATATAGTACAATCTTAAATGCCAAATTTAAAAAAAAATAACTCAAATTTTATCAAAAATTTTCCTACTGTTAATTTTGATGAAATTTTTTTGCCAATGAAATAGTAGTAACCAAGGAGACTCACATTAGATTTTTATTAGAAAAACAAAAAACAAAACAAAAAAACATATGTTCTAACTATGTTTTTGTTATTTCACAGCTACATTGTAGGAAAAAATTGCAGTGTATCTAGCTTCTTATTATTCTTATTATAGGCTGGATAAAAGTATGCAAATATATGATTTTGTGTAGTTACTTATAATAATCAAATTTCATTAGGCTTATGTAATTAAATACGTCTCTCAGATAAATAAGGGAGAGGGAGGGGATAGAAAGATTAAATAAATAGTGAGTTAAAGAAATTTTCTAAACTTAAATTAATTGGAATGTTATATAAAATGTCACAGAGATTCAGTTCCACAAAGCATTTCCTCATTGCAACTAAAATGCAATTAAACTTGAAAATAATGTTAAAGTAGAAAAAAAGTCCTAGTGAGCAAAAGGTGTTTTGTTATTTCACATGTACATTAAAGACAAAAAAATTGCTTTATATAAGCTCAAATCTTCACATGTATAGTATATATGAGCCTATCACTTCTCGCAGTTAACTGTCAATTCCAGCTTTTGTAATTTACCTGTAGGCCTTGAGAATCGCCCACCCCAGGTGTTGGCAGAATGGAGTCATACCTCATTCTTATTCGTCCATCCGCTGAGGTTGGGCTCCAAGGGCTATCAACAACTAAGCCCCCAATGCAAACAGTTCCTAAATTCAAACATTCATATTCACTCACGCATAATACATTATTTTTTATTTACATACCATTCACTCAGTTAGGATGAAGGAGTACTTACTATTCCTCCATTTATACCTATTAACTAACAAATTTGAGGGTTAATGGGATACATTATTTCATCATCAGCCCTCTCCCACTATACTTTTATGTTAATAAATACATTCATTCCTAACACATATTGGGTACACAGCAATATTATCACTATACACAATAAAACAACCCTGTTGCCTCCAAGAATTGGAACAGGGGACCCAGATACTCGCTTACGTGCTCAAGCACAATTCTCATATTGGATGGCATACCTATGTACTCTCCACATAAAGCAACCTTTCTCTTTATGCCGGGCACATACACGAGGTGGCCTATCTTTAATCAGGAAAGGATGACCATTCTTTTACGGTTCAGATCATCCAAGGGCCACTTATTGACGGTGCTGTTGATACATGAGTGTGTCTCTTCTGATCTGGCCCACTGAGGCTGCTACATTCTTTTAAGCATGGTTTTAATTGCATCATCCACCTTTTTGTTACCCTCCAAACCTGACAAAAATACAGTGTATCTAATTATGGACTGAATAATAAAAGTATGCAAATATATTTTTCATAATCAAATTTAATTGGTTTTATATAATTAAATACTTCTCTCAGTTAGCTGAAATAGAAGGATGAGTGAGAAGAAAGAGGTGGAAAGATTACGTAGATAAAAAGAAGTATGATTCACAATTTCTTTTAAGGAGCTTAAATCAATAAAAATAATAAGTCCCAGGCCAGAACATAAAAACAATAATTTTACAAATTTGTTTCAATTTCCTTAATAGAACTTGGCTTTTTAAATTCTATTTTTGATATTGGCCAACTATCTCATTTTTCAGAAAACATACTTCTTTTATTTAGGATAGAGACATAAATTATGTTGCTTGTTTGCACTCAATCTGCGCGATCGGTGAACAGAATAAAGATATTACTCCATATAGTGTAGTATAAATAGAATAGTATAAATATAATTGAAGACTATTGTGAACAATAGTATTTGTTAATTAACTAAAAAAAAAAGATTTTTCGAAATAGAGGTAGGCTGGCATTGACCAATAAACCTTTCTTTATTAAGAATAGAAGTATTATTAACAAATGTAGGTTCTTTATTAAGAAAAGTAGTTTCAAAGAAAGATTAGAAATTGTAAATAGATGTAGTAAAAGAATATCTATGGAGCTTGGTCAAAGTTTATTATTTACTATTACAATTAACCCTTATATGGTTATTGGTCAATGATCTATTTAATTATTTCAATTAGTTTTTAACTAAAGTCTTGGTTGAGATGAAATCTCCGAATCCCGCTCATGACAGCTTTTATATATCAACAAAGACTTTAGATAAAAGTATGATTAATTGAAATTTATCATTAACAATGATATTCCGTTACATATCAAAATTTTGGTATTTATATCCGTCTTTCACTCAGTGGTCTGTTACGCGAGCTAGTCTGGGGTTTTTGGCTATATGAGATACTTGAAAAATTTCAGTGATTTTTTTAAAATAAAAAATTACTTCCCTGGCCATCAGTCACCCCAAACTTTATGCTGGACATTGAAATTGCTTTGTATCTTCTATTTTCATCACACTTAATATAAAATACTGTTAAAAGTCTCTCTCACTTCCATATTTCCATAACTTCTGATTCATTTTCATTGTATACGATAATTATGACAGATTATAAAGTTCATTGAAAAACAGTGGTACAACAGGCCGAGAATCTTGTTAAGTTGTAAAATCTGGGGTGAATACTTTATTTGAATTACAAGCCATGGCTAGACAAGGATTCAAATGTAGAAATGTGCTCACTCTGTAATTAAAAATGTAAGAGAAGATTCCTATTATTTTTTGGAGGTGAAAGTCCACAACTCAGGGAACATAGCTATTTTCGTCAAACTAACACTTTTTAATATAAAATTAATCTTTTTTAAATTTCAAATGAATCGTTTTTAAAGCATCAAAAAACTTGAAATATAAACAGGTAAAGTAAAATTCTTTATATTTGCTATTTTTTAATATAAAATAAATAGGCTCTTAGACCATCACATAGAAATTAATTACAATAAAAAATTAAAAAAATACAATAAATTAAATACAATCTTATATAAAAAATAAGAATTCTCCTTTTAATTTGAGTGTTTAAAAAAATATGAAATTTGTTCTTAGCTAAATTCCACGAGAAATTAATTACAATTAGAAATAAAAAAAGATTTTCCTATTAATTACAGGTTTTTATATTTAAAAATATCGGGAATTAATATAAAGATCACCGGTTTTTTTATTTATTTCTATATTACTTTATCTCAAATTAAAATGAAAATCCTTTATTTTTATATTATTTTAAATTTAAATTGTAATTTATTTTCATGTGATCTATGAGCCAAATAATTCTTTTATTTAAAAAAAAATTCCCAAATATTCCGGAATTTTATCTTACATGGTTACATTTCATTCAGAATACCACGTGAAAGTTCAAGTAAAATTACAAATCGTATAAAATTAAATGTAAAATGAATGATTCTTTTTTTAATTTGAGATAAATACTATAAAATTCAAGTAAAAACATGATTGTTCTATTAATTCCAGATTTTTAAAATATAAAATAAATGGATTATAAAATAAGTTTTTTTTTTAATTTTGATAGACAGAAGAATTATATGCTTTTATATTTAATTTTATACTCCTTTTCATTTTAATTGTACTTAATTTTTATGTAATATTTTAGATCAGAACCATATTTTTTTATTTAAAAACATTCTCGAATTAACATAATTATCCTTTATTTTTATATTTAATTTTAAATAATTAAAAAAATTATAATTCATATTCTCATGGCCTTCTAAGAGCCAAATTATTTTATACATAAAAAAGTAAGTATATAGGAATTTATTTAATATGCTTATATTTTTAATGCTTTAAAAAAGGGTTAATTTGAAATTAAAAAAGTTAATTCAAAGTTATAAATGGGTGATTTGAAATAAAAAAAGAGCTAATTTGAAGTTAAAAAGGAGTTAATTTGATGGAAAAAAGCTACATATATCAATCGAATGCTTTTCACATATAATTTGCATATGGTCTTCTGAAATCCCAATCATTTTATATAATTATATAAAAAAAATTGACAAATGTACAGGAATTTTACTTTACATGTTTATATTTCATGTTATCTACGAACTTTTTTAATGCTATAAAGAAAGGGCTAATTTGAAATTAAAAAGGGATAATTTTGAAGTTAAAATGTGTAAATTTGACCGTAAAAAGCTATAACTGGCTTTTATGTTGATAAGAAAAACTAGCTGAGGGAATAAATTATCCCATTCTAACTGGACAGACTGATGTTCGTCACTTTGTAAGTGCCCCTGAATATTAAAAGTTTATAAAAAATATCAATCAATCTGGGAGTATTTTCTAATTAGAAGCAACCTTTACTTTTAATTTTGCCAGTATATAAAATTTTTACTTTTTTGTTTAAGTCAAAAGAAACCTCAGTAGACGTTGTTTTAAAAACCTATAAATTCTGTTAGTATTTGTTGCTTTTTAATAAAGTTTTGTTATTATAGATAGATTGAGGAGAGAGAGAGAGAGAGAGAGAGAGAGAGAGAGAGAGAGTGAGATTGTGTGTGTGTGTGTGAGAGAGAGAGAGTGAAAGAGAATATTTTTAAACCTTAAATGAATCGCAACGTTATGTAAAATGTCATAGATTCAGTAACACAATGCGTTTCCTCATCGCAACTAAAATGCAATTAAACTTGAAAATAACGTCTAAAGTAGACAAAGAAGTCGTAAGTGAGAGAAGAGGGTTTACCCCGGTGTCGGTAAGGGCTTAATAAAGATAGTTTGTGTGAATGGTTGAGTGAGCTTTTTCATTTAAAGTTGAGATGTGGGCTGTGATCAAAGGAGATTCTGAGTATTTAATACCACTTTGCCGGCGGCCTCTCTACTCTCGAAGGTAATAAAATGGTAATCCGTGTTTGTCGTTACTAATCAAGTGTGAACGGGGAGTGAGTTTGCACACGAGCCTTCCCTTAGACTATTTGTAAGGACCCACTCAATTAGTCGACAGACACCGAAAACTACTTAACCCAACAAACTACCTCTTAACTGATTGCATATTACTTTACCCCTATTTTCATACATGCGTTTTCAATATACAGTGGGTCAAAAAAGTATTGGCACGCCCTAATTCCTTTTAACTAATAAGTTTGAAAATTTAAATTGTGATAAAGTAAAAGATGAAATCTAGAAAAGTAAT